AACCATGAGCATGAAATGTTTTTCCATCTGTTTGTGTCGTCTTTTATTTCCTTCAGCAGTGGTTTGTAGTTCTCCTTGAAGAGGTGCTTTACATCCTTTGTTAGTTGTATTCCTAGGTATTTTATTCTCTTTGTAGCAATTGTGAATGGTAGTTTGCTCTTGATTTGGCTCTCTGTTAGTCTGTTATTGGTGTATAGGAATGCTTGTGATTTCTGCACATTGATTTTGTATCCTGAGACTTTGCTAAAGTTGCTTATCAGTTTCAGGAGATTTGGGTCCGAGACAATGGGGTCTTTTAAATATACAATCATGTTGTCTGCAAATAGAGACAATTTGACTTCCTCATTTCCTAATTGAATACCCTTTATTTCTTTTTCTTGCCAGATTGCTCTGGCTAGAATTTCCAATACTATCTTGAATAGGAGTGGTGAGAGAGGGCATCCTTGTCTAGTGCCAGATTTCAAAGGGAATGCTTCCAGTTTTTGCCCATTCAGTATGATATTGGCTGTAGGTTTGTCATAAATAACTTTTATTATTTTGAGATATGTTCCATTGATACCTAGTTTATTGAGAGTTTTTAGCAAAAAGGGCTGATGAATTTTGTCAAAGGCCTTCTCTGCATCTATTGAGATAATCACGTCGTTTTTATGTTTGGTTCTGTTTATGTGGTGGATTATGTTTATAGACTTGGGTATGTTGAACCAGCCTTGCATCCCCAGGAGTAAGCCTACTTGATCGTGATGTATAAGCTTTTTGATGTGCTGTTGCAATCGGTTTGCCAGTATTTTATTGAAGATTTTTGCATCTATGTTCATCATGGACATTGGCCTGAAATTTTCTTTTTTTGTTGAGTCTCTGCTAGATTTTGATATCAAGATGATGTTGGTCTCATAAAATGATTTGGGAAGGATTCCCTCCTTTTGGATTGTTTGGAATAGTTTCAGAAGGAGTGGAACCAACTCCTGATTGTACACCTGGTAGAATTCAGCTGTGAACCTATCTGGACCTGGGCTTTTTTTGGTTGGTAGGCTATTAATTGCTGCCTCAACTCCAGCCTTCTTCTACTTCTCATGTGGCCATGAGTAAGTCACTGAGCATACCTGAACTTCTTCATCTTTAAAATATTCTTTCAGAAGGTTGTTCAAAGGACTAATGAAGTAAATGGTAAATTGCAAAGTAAATGAAGTACTTGACTTCATGAAGTAATAAAGCAAATGGTAAATAGATTACAAAATATTTTAATTGTTCTTCCTAAGTTCCAAGGTAACTATAAAATTTTGAAATATTTTCTAAATTCTCTAAAAAGTCTGTAATTTTGCAGAAATTTAGTTAATTCATCAAGATAATAACCCACTTTTATATCTGTTAGTGTCCTTGGAAGATTATTATTAGTAATCCCTTAAATCTTATTTAAAAATGAAGTATATTTAATTAAGTTCTTCATCTATGAAACTTGGCAATTTATATACTTGGATATTTTGTGTTTCCCTAATAATCAGAAAATTTGTAAGCCAAATTTTTTTTCCTCAACAGTACTATCTGTTCATTTTCTTTATTAAAGACCAGTTGTAATATTTTTCATAACACGTGGAACATTTAAAATGTTATTAGATGATCACATTTTTATTTGTGATAATCATGATTAACAATAGCTTCGTTTACTGAGCTCTCCATTTTGACAGACACAATGCAAAGCATTGTACATGTTTACCACATTTAATCCTCACAGCAATACTGATGTGCAAGTATATAAGTAAGGCACAAAATATGTAAGTAACTTTATCTAAAATCATCCTTTAAGAAATAGAAACAGAGGTTGAGCCCAGGCATTCTGATTCCAGAGCTAAGGCACATTACATTTAAGCCATGCTACATTGCCAGCATTGTGTAATCTCTTGCGTATCTCTTGCATATCCCAAAATGCAACCTCTGAACACCATGATTCCTGGGAGGCTAACCAGAGGGTCTTAGATACCAATAACAATGATTTCAGTGAAACTCCCAAAACCTTTGAAAGTACTTTCTAATCTGTTTTTCAGTTTTTCTGACATACTCTCAACTATACTTGCATGGAAATCAAGTAGACCACTTTTGTTTTCACATATTTGATAGTCAGAGATAAAAAGGAAAAATAATAGCCTATTTAAGAGAGTAGTTTTCATGTATTCCCCAATGAATATAACTTGTCATTCCCCAACAGAGTGTAATCACAATGAATAAAAGTAGTTTTTTAAATTACACTATAATTTTATGTAGACATTCACATGTGCAGGTTCTGTTTGCTATATTTTACTCTCTTGAACTTGTAAATACTAGTGAGTAATTATAAGCTAATTTAAATTGTTATTAGATCATCATGGAGATTTCTGCATTTGCTGAAACATATAATCAAAATTGTTCGTTGAATTAATTCAAGAGTCAGAAACTAGAAAATTTGATGTAATTTAGTTTGCATAGCTAATCTTCATGGTGAAACTGCAGGGACAGACCTAGAAGCTTAATCTTTACCACGCTCCACACACACACACACACACATATCATGTTGAAGCAGTTTATGTCTTCAAGCAGTTCTTCAAGTTTCCACTTGGTTTCCTGTCATTGTATTATCATTATCTTGAGAGAAATAATTTTTTCTCACTTGAAATGAATTTCAAGTGAAACGAAGATTCACATTATCACTGCTCATTCAAAAATATTTTCTTTACAAACAGGCATAGGCATGTGAGTGCATGCACACACACACAAACACATAAAGCAGCCTCTACATATGAATGGATTGATTTCAGAAAGTATATTTGGAAGACTTTTTTAAACTCCCAATGATAAGTTCCCATGGGAGTAGTATTATGTTACTATTCCACCACAAAAGTCTATTTATCTCATATTTTAGACCGCTTAAAATACTTATTTTATGGGATCATCCTTTCTCAATTTCCCCTCCAAGCACAAGGAACATAATCTTGTACACTACTAATCCTAGGACACTCTCTGCCAGTATACCCATGATAATCCCACTGTTTTCAATGGCATGTATGCTATCACCCAGGACAGTTATCAAAACCAGTGATATTCCTGGTTGAGGATAATCATATAGACGTTAAGAAATCATGTTTATATTTTCAAAATGTTAAATAAATACAATTCAGTTCCAAATTTTCAAATCCTGAGCATTCAAGCTTTTTCGTGTTATAGAAGTTAGTAGAGGGCGTATTGATGTGCAAAACTGAAAACAGAAAATGCTGACCACAAAGTATATGTTGTTAATGTTGTGTTTTATTAATTTCTTATTTTCTGGTTGTCAGCATTGTCATGTAGCTAGTAACTGAAAAGTACAATGTATATTAACCACTTTTTTCAAGAAATCACAATTATTAGAATTTTTTGAAGTTCTGATTAAGTCATTAGTATGGAATGAAATCAGCAATTCTACACTTGAAAACTGATACTTTTAAAAAATTTTCTTATTTCAATAGCTTTAGGGGTTCAAGTGGGTTTTGCTTACACAGATGAATTGTATATTGGTAAAGTATAGGATTTTAGTGCACATGTCACCTGGGTAGTGAACATTGTACTCAATAGGTAGTTTTTCATTGCTCACCCTCTTCTCACCCTTTCCCTTCTGAGTCCCCAGTGCCTGTTATACCACTCTGTGTGCCTTTGCATACTCATAGCTTAGTTCTTACACTTATAAGTAAGAACTTATGTTATTTGGTTTTTGTTTCTGAGCTTCTTCACTTAGAATAATGGTCTCCAGTTCCATCCAAGTTACTGAACATTTTTTCATTCTTTTTTGTGGCTGAGTAGTATTCCATGGTGTGTGTGTAGGTATATATATGTGTGTGTATATGTATATATTCCACATATTTATCCCACATATATACCCCACATTTATATATAATATATAATGTGTATCATATATATCCTATATGACATGTATCAAAATATCATATATATTTCACATTTTCTTTATCCACTCACAGGTTGATGGACAGTTAGGTTTATTTCATATCTTTCCAATTGTGAATTGTGGTGTATAAACATATGAGTGCAAGTGTTTTTATGAAATAGTGTCTTCTTTTCCTTTGGGTAATCAGTAGTGGGATTACTGGATCGAATGGTAGATTTACTTTTAGTTCTTTGAGAAATCTCCACACTGTTTTTCATAGAGACTGTACTAATTTACATTCCTAGCAGCAGTGTATAAGTGTTCCTTTTTCACATCCATGCCAAAAGCTATTGTTTTTGACTTTTTAATAATGGCTGTTCTGGCTAAAGTATCTCATTGTGAAAGATATGATTTTTCTTTTTAAAGGGTGACCTTTTTTTAATGACTTTATTTATTTTGCAAGAAATTATTTTTTAGTCAATAGGTTTCTATTTTAGTCAGCTTGGGCTGCTGTAACAAAATACCATAGACTGGGTGACTGAAACCACAGACTATTGCTTAGTTCTGGAGGCTAGGAAGTCCAAAGTCAAGGTGCTGGTAAATTTGGTTCCTTGTGGAGGTCCTCACTGTGGCTTGAAGATAGCTTCCTCCCTGTGTCTCCACATGGCAGAGAGAGAGGTCTACTCTTTTTCCCTTTTCATCTCTCTCTCTTTTTATAAAGACACTAATCCCATCACAGAGGTTCCACTCCTAACCTCCTCTGAACCTAGTTACCTCCCAAAGGCCCTACCTACAAATCACATTGGGGACTGGGGCTTCAATATTTGAATTTTGTGGGGACCATATTCAGTCCACAGCAGTCTCTAATTAGAGAATATGCGTAAATTTCATACACCTGGTGTTTTTCAGTTTTGTTTAATTGGAATGCCAGAAAAGTCAAGCACTCTCCAATTTATTGTGGTCCCTGATGATCCCTGGCAGCTTGCTCCTTGCCAGAGCATCTTCATGGTATTTTCTAGCAAAGATCTTTGGGTATTTGAATTTTAGACCATTTAACTTGTAAATATTTATCAAAATGTTGGTATTAAAATACTCTTTCAATTCTCTCTTACAGGATGGAGAACCTAATAAGGGGAAGGAATCCCCCGCAATACCAGAGAAGTCCCTGTAAAGAGGTTCGTGCAGCACTTCGGAAGAGGCCTGAAGAGGAGTGTAAGTATGTTTAATAGGATTACCTGTGTTCTAGATAGATTTTGGTGAGTAGCATAGTAAAATGAAATGGGTGACCTTTAAATGGTTAGTCAAGTAATAGAATATTTGTTTAATTGAATTGATCTTTTAAAATAATCTACTTTATGTTACCTGAATGTAAGTGCTTACTTAGAACATTGCTTTCTTAAGAGTATTTTTCTGGTGCTTCAAGATGTTCTACTGATAATCAAGTTCCATGTTCAAATGCAATGGGAAAAGACTGTACAATCTGACAAATCTTTCTTAGATTTTATACCATGCATGGTAATGGTTCTGAGAAGTCCTGAAGTAAAGAAACTTTTGAAATGTATCTAAAAATCAACACTTTCCAGTTTCCTTTTAGCCACAGGGCTCTTTTGACATTTTTTTTTAACTGAGAACTTTTAAAAATCACCACACTAGACAAAATAATAGATATCTTCCAGTAAATGTAAATCTGTTTGCCAAATGGAAACATTTGATGTAATTGAATTTAGGAAATTGTTCTGAAAGATAGATACCATGAATCCCAGTATAAAGTCATTTTAGTTCATCCTCAAATTATTAGGTATTAGAATATGCCGTTGGCTGTAGGGGTTTTATGTGCTTATTATCTATAGCATATAGAAGATTATTGGAGACTCTTGACATATTCACATTTTAAGTTTATAAAATGAATGATAATACTAAGTTTTTTCATGGTATTTGATTATTTTCAGGAAACTAAATCACATTTCATTATGATAAAAATTTTTCAGAATTTTGTCCTTTTACAGGAACTTACATTTTACAAGGATAAAGCTAATGTAGTGGGTTTACTGAAGTATAGAGTTAAGTAGATTTTTAAGATTATATTGGCATTTTTAAATTAGTTTGAAGTATACTGCTGTGGGTAAAGGCCAACTATATTAAAGCAAGGTACACTCATGGCAAACGGAGTGTTTTTGTTTTGTTTCTTATTAAGTTAATAGATAACCTTACTGAACTGACATATATGTCATTCAATCATGTTTTTGTCTTCTTTAAACAGATAGATTTATCTAACTAAACACAAACAATATTTAACTAAAACTAAAACTTGAAAATAAAGATAGAGTTTGTGGGCATTTAAAAAATGCAGACTCTTGCTTAAAGTATTGCTTATTTCCATTGGGTTTATAGAAAAACTTTAGGGTTTCCTCTCTATGCTTCAAGGAGATCATCAGTTTAGTCTCTGCTTTGTAGATATTTAAATAAAATTTGGAAGAGATATTTGCAGATATATCTGCAAATGATTATCACAGAATTGCCATTTAACATATACAAAGTGATTTTTCAGTGTTCTTATACTGAGTTGGTCTAAGCCAGGGGTTGGCCAATTATGGTTTGTTGATGAAACTCAGACTGGCACCTGTTTTTTAAGTACAATTTTATTGAAATACAGCCATCATTCTACTTATTGTATATTGTGTACAACTGATTTTGCACTGCAAAGGAAGAGTTGAGCAGTTGTGACAGAGACCAAATGGCCCACAAAACCAGAAATATTTACCTGGATCTTTACAGAAAATCTGTATGAACTCTGGTCTGAGCCAGTCATTCTCAAATTGTGATCTACAGGCCTAGGAGCAGTAACAGCAGCAGCAGCATCTGGGAACTTGCTTAAAACGCAACTTCTAGAGCTGCAAGCCACACCCACTGAATCAGAAACTGAGCGGGGTCTGGTGACCTTTTTTTTAAGAAGCTCTGCAGGAGATTCTGATGCAAGCTCAAGATTGAAAATGACTAACCTAGGTAAAATGATTGACATCAAATGATATTAAATCATTATCTACACAAAAGAGGAATAATCTTTGGTGTATTTCATAATCAAGTTTTATTGTTCTCTAATGTAAAATATATATGTTAAGCTACCTAATGTGTGCTTAACAAGGTACATGATATAACTCTTGCTTATGTTATAAGTTCGCATCAATTGGATTATGACAGTCAGGGCAGTCTTTGAAGTGTCACCACAGAAATTCAGCTGGAGTATGTTACTGAACATGAAAAGATGTATTGAAAAATGCAAAATCTATAAAATTTTATTCTCTTCCATAGAGGTCTTTATTTTCTCTTGTTAGTACAATGAGCAGTTCTTCTTTCACTGTTACAGACTAGTGTGAATTCCATGTGAAAGAAAAGCCACAGTTTTTTTGTAATAGAAGCAACATATCTTGATAGTTAAAACTATTAACTTTAGAGACACAAAAAAGGGTTTATTCTCTAATATGACACCTAATGTGACCAGTTGCAGGACCATGAATACTTATTTTGAATATAAAATTCAGTTTATTTACTGAAGAAAATGAGGATATGCTAGAGCCTACTTTATAGAATTATTTTGAGTATTAAAGGAGATATTTATATTAAGTAGTTGGTACAGAACCTGTGATGTAGCAAGTTTTCTTTTTTCTCTTTCTGTCTCTTTCTTTAACTTTTAATATTGTCCTTCTTATTTCAAACTAAACATTTGTTTGAGGATAATAAGGCATTTTTTGAGATCAGAAATGCAAATGCACAGATATTACCACCACTATTTTTGGAAATAATAATGCATGACAAAGAAGTTTTAGCAAATACCATAAAGCTGAAATTCTTGCAGCAATCTTAAATGGTAATTCCTGTTTGATACTAGTTTGTTTTCTTTTTTTTTTAACACAATGGAATAGTTCTTTTTCTGTGATTCTACAGATTCAGTATAGATCTACACCAAGACTTGTTGGTCAACTCCCACACAAATGTGCCACCTTCGAAAACTTTCATAGAAAGTCACATCATAGCAGCTTTTCTGTACTAAGAATTGAAAGGCATAAGGAAACTTGGTTCAGACCATAAGATCCTTCATAGTAAAGAAATTTCTCTTTCATTTGGAGATGTTGTATACAGGAAAGTTTTGCTAAATAGCATACTTTGTATTGTTTTCTTTTATAATGCTCTATACCACTTTACAATATTTGCAATGTTAAAATCAAAATAAGGTCACCAGAGGTAGATAGTTATTTAATGTGAATTATATCTACCTATGCTGCACCTGGCACGGTCAAGTAAATGTTCAGTAAAAATAGATTATTCCAAACGAAAGACTTTTAAACATGTTTAGATTATTCCACATTAAAATACAAAATAAAAGCCTTGTCCTCAAAGCCATAGCCCCATTCAGTTACCACCCTGCACTCTGCTCTATTTCCAGGAAAGTCTCTTGATTTATCTAAGAGTTATCTATACTTGCTCCATTTATTTGTCTCCCACTCACTCCTCCAAGGTAGTCCAGTCTGGTTCCTACCCATTCATTCTACAGAAACAGCTTTTGTTCAGAGCACCAATAATTTTTTTATGTTGTTTTAATAGTTTTCTACTGCTGTGTAACAAATTAGCACAAACGTGTGTCTTAGAATAACCTGCATTTATCATCTCACATTTTCTGGAGATCAGAAGTCCAGGCACTAAGTCCAGGCTGAGTTCTCTGCTTCAGATCTCACCAGGTTAGAGTCTCATCAAAACTGAGTTGGGGAAATCATTCACTTTTGAACTCCTTTAGGCTGCTGGAAGAATTTTTTTCCTTGTGGTGGTCTGACAAACAGTCCCAGATTTTTGTTGGCTGCCAGCTGAAGTCACTTTTAGGTTCTAGAGGCCTCCAGAAGTTCCTTGCTGCACAGACATTCCAAATTAGCCAATTTACTCCCTCTTCTCAAGGAGAATTACGTTTCTCTCTTTTAAGTGCTTCCACCTGATTAAGTCAGGCACACCCAAGATAATTTCAATTTTGACTAACTCAAAATGTGGAATCATAATTACACCATTGCCTTTGCCATATTTTATTGTCCAGAAGAAAGTCATAGATCCAGCTTATATCCAAGGACAGGGGATTATATAGGGTTCAAGCATCAAGGAGTATGTTGATGATCATGGGACCATCTTAGAAGTCAATATATCATTTGGTAATCCATCAAGCATTTTTTTCAATGCTTATCTTACTTGACTTTTTAGCAGGGATCAATACTGTTGATTATTTTGTCCTTTTGAAAACTACAATGATCTGAATATTACTATCCCTCCAAACTGTATTATGTTAAAATCCAATTAATATTATATTAGGAGATAGGCTTTTTGGAGGTAATCTATGACAAGGCACCATCTGTGAACCAGAAAGCAGGACTTACCAGCTACCAAATCTGCTAACATCTTGATCTTGGATTTCCCAGCTTCCAGAAGTGAGAAATAAATTTTTGTCATTTATAAGCTACCTAGTTCATGGAATTTTGTTATGGCAGCATGAATAGGCTAAGACAGAGATAATCTAATGCCTTGGCTACCATAATGGAATACTATCCTGATTTTTCTATAATCTTTCTGGTTACTCTCTTGCATGCTCAACTTTCTCCTTCCAGCCATTATATATTAGAATTTTGGAAGATAGTTTGAAGTCTTTTTTTTTTCCAAATATACTTCCTCCCCAAATAATGTCATTACGTATAGTGTTAGTTACTCCTATAATCAGATGACTCACAAATCGATATCTCCAGACCAAACCTCTCTCTATTCATCACAATGTGCACTTGACACATTCTTGAATGTTTCAACAATGCATCAAACACAACAAATCCAAGACCAAATCTACAATCTTTTACTTAAAGCCCGAGCTTCTTTCAGTGTTTTCTGTCAGAATGTGTGATGCCATTAAGGTTCAAAATTCGTAAGCCTGGGAGTCATCTTTCATACACTTTATCCCCTTTACTCTCCTAGCTTCACTCTAATTTCAAGGCCCCTCAACTTGACCTCCTACACATGTTTTGAATCTGTTCACAAATCACCTTTGTAAATATTCTGCGTAAGATTCAACCAAATGCTCCCATAAGTGGCTCTCCTACATACAGTTAGGAAACCCCCTTTATCTTAAAATAACCCTATGGTTTTCCATTGCTCATTCAAGAAAGACAAAAGCCATACTGTGTATTATAAGA